GCCACAGGCTGAAAGTGACCACGTGCTGCAGGTCAGCAAACCACAACCACTGCGCTGTAAGCGAACCCAGGAGTACATCACGCTGGGTCAGGAATTGGTCACCGCGATGGTGACTTGAAAACATGGGTTTGCTGCTCTCCAGATGGCGTGAGAGCATCGCTCCAGGGCATGTATCAGCAAACCTTAGCTATGACTTGAGATGGCTGCAGGCCAAGTCATCAGGTCAAGGACTGAAGGATGATCTGTGCTGCTCCTGCAGCTCATGGCTTCGTACGTTCTGTGGTTTTATGGTGGGCATCATGGATGCTGCTAGCAGAGCAGCCAGAAGCTAGGAGGTCAGCATGGCCTCCACTTAGTGACTCAGCTTCTCAGTGGTCGTTGCAGCCAGGCCAGCTCAGCTCTCTGCACAAGCAGCTATCTCCTGGAGTCTGCAGCTACGAGCACAGCTTTGACCAGTACCTAAATCTCTTAAGTAAGCAAGACAGGCAGGGCATGAGGGAGAAGCACTCACATCACTGGTTCTTTTGTACTTTGCTAACGGAGCCTCAGCCGTGGGGAAGGCTAGGTCCTTTTAGGAGCAGAGACCTGGGGGAAATGCTTGTTATCAGAGAAAGAAATAAGATGAGGTAGAAATAAGAGGAGCTTGACCATAGCAATGCCCCAGCTCAGGTGCCTGAACCGTGTGCAGATGCCTGAACACGGAGTATCTGGCTCCAAGATATTTGGTCACTTTCTCTGAGCTAACGGATGCCATCAGTTAGTTCCTGGGCTGTGTGAAAGTCTTCTGCTCCTGTAGAAATCTACTGCTGGGAAGGGAATCTTGGATTACCTCCATGGCCCAAAGACCACTGCAGAGTTCCTGGAGTAAAAGAAAGGTTTTCCTGCTAGGAAAGGCTGAGGTCCTGCAGGACGTGCAGTGGTCAGGGCTGTGCATGGTGACTCTGGTGACTACAGGTGAGACAGTGAGCACCTGGCAGGTCAGGAAGCTGGGAGCCTGTGATCTGAGACTCTTTGTTAGAAATGGTGGGTTTCTAAAGGGCTCGTTGAGACTGATCGTTGGTGACTTTCCTTCTAGGTGTCAGAACTGAGACAGCAGCTCCGAATACGAGGGCTGCCTGTGTCGGGTACCAAAACAGCGCTGATGGAACGGCTGCGGCCCTTCCAGGAGTGCGGCAGCAACACGGTGCCCAACTTCGGTGAGATCACCACCGTCACCTTCCCAGTCACTCCGACAAGCACCCTGTCGAGTTACCAGTCACAGTCCTCCACCAGCATGTTATCAAACGGCTTCTACCACTTTGGCAGCACCAGCTCCACCCCACCTATCTCTCCAGCTTCCTCTGACCTCTCTGTGAGCGGCTCTTTGCCAGACACATTCAACGACGGGCCCATGTCTTCACCACAGTTTGGTCTCCAGCCGTCTCCAGTTCATGGCAGTGCTGAAGAGAGCCTCATGAGCAGCATGAATGGTGGGAGCATCCAGCTGGAGCTGGAAGGGATGGACACAGAGAAAGACAAGATGCTGGTGGAGAAGCAGAAGGTCATCAATGAACTGACATGGAAGCTGCAGCAAGAGCAGAGGCAGGTGGAGGAGCTACGGATGCAGCTCCAGAAGCGAAAGAGAAGCAATGGCCTTGAGGAGAAGCAGCAGCCCGCTCAGCATTTCTTTGGTGTCCCCATCAAGCAAGAAAATGCAGTGTCCAGCTGTCCGTTTGCGTCCAAACAAACGGCCTTGAAAGGCCAAGGCAGCAGCTCAGACAAGTTAAGTAACTGTGGGGTGGTGCCACAGCTGCCTCACGTTGTAAATAGCCACTGCTTGGAGCCTGCGGGGCAAAGCACCATCACCTCCTCGACATTCCTGAGCCCCCAGTGCTCCCCCCAGCACTCCCCGCTCGGGGCTGCCAAGAGCCCCCAGCACATCAGCCTGCCGCCGTCCCCCAACAGCCACTATCTCCTCTCCGTGTCCCCTGGCTCCCAGGCAGAAGGTCGCAGCGGCTCCCCCCAGACCAACAGCTGTCTCCGCACGGCGTCGGTAAGTGGAGAGCACCCCGGATGGCACTGCAGCGCCAGCGCCTGCGGCCACTCAGTCAGACATCCCAGATGGAGTCCTCTCCTATCGGACCGGGACTGCTGGCACCCAGCGTGGGTACCCAGGGGGCTGCAGCAGCACGTGGGGCTGCCTGGAAAGGCAGAGAGTAGCCCAGATGGACAACGGGTTGGAAGTTGATGGCACTGCAGGGTCCTTTGCAGGGCACCTCCTGGCGAGCCCCGCTGCCACCACCCCCGATTGCCCTGGGAGGTCACAGCACAGCTCCCATGCCCCGTGGAGCCCTAGCACAGCTCCTGCCCTGGGGGAGCCTTGGCACAGCTCCCCTCTTCCCCAGGGGACCCCAGCACAGCTCTCTGCCCCTGGGTGAGCACTGGCAAAGCTCCCTGTGTCCTGGGAGAGTCCTGGCACAGCGTCCTCTGCCCCATGGAGCCCTGGCTCAGCTCCCTCTGCCCTGGGGAGACCTGGCACATCTTCCTCTCCCCCTGGTTAAGCACTGGCACAGCTCCCTCTGCCCCTGGAGGAGTCCTGGCACAGCTCCCTCTGCCCTGGGAGAGCATTGGCACGGCTTCTTCTACCCTAAAAGAGCCCTAACTCAGCTGCCTCTCCCCACAGGGGGAGGCCCTGGCACAGCTTGCTGTGCCCCTGGGGGAGTCCTGGCACAGCTCCTCCTGCCCCATGGAGCTCTGTCAGAGCTCCCACCACCCTGGGGAAGCCCTGGCACAGCTCCCTCTGGCCCATGGAGCACTGGCAAAGCCTTATCCGCAGTGTGGAAGCACCGGCACAGATCCCTCAGCCCCTGGGAGAGCCCTGGCACAGCTTTTACACCCCTGGGGGAGCCATGCTGCAGTGTTGCAGGGCTTTTCAGCATCTTGTTGAGCCACTGCAACCTCTAGCAGTGTGTGAGGGATTTTGGCCACTGGGTTGAAGGAGGGCAGTTACCCCAGTCCTATGGGAAGCCTTTTCTTGGGAAGCTAGAGCAGGACTTCCATTTGGGGTCTGCAGTCAGACAGAGCTTGTGCGTCCCCACCAGGCAACCAGCACAGCAGAGAGCTGTCCCTTCAGCATCCACCACTGTCCACTCAGTCCTCTGGACAGATACCAAATCTTGGAGAGGGGCACATGCTGCCCACACATAAAAGCACCCCAAGGTGCTGCTGATTGCAGTCCCAGTTCATCCCAACACCCTTCTGGGGTTTCCCAGGCAGCTGCAACACCTGTGATACAGTCTGTAAAACACGCCCAGGGGTGCGAGGCACGCACGCTGCATGCAGGGCAGACGTGCAGCAAGCGCACGCTGAGCACGCGACAGTGGCACAGCAGAGCGACAGCCCCTGCGAAACGCCCCGCGCTCGCGCAGGGCAGCTCACAGGTGGCATCGCAGCCGCCGGCACACTGAGCAGCGTGCAGCAGCAGCTGGGCAGTGGGGTGCAGTGCCAGAAAGTGGGAGGCGGCGTTGTCGCTAAGCTGTTCAGAGGACGGCAAGATAGGTGACGTGGGCAGTTGGCACACAGCACTGCCAGTGAGGTGGGCAATGGGCAGCAATTCAGGATGAGGGGGGCAGAGAGGCAGAGCGCTGCCAGTGGGATGGGCAGTGGCGTGCAGTGTTGTTGGGGTGAGGTAGGCAGCAGGGCTTGCTGCTGGGGTGAAACAGGCAACGGGGAGCACTGCTCTGGGTGAGCTGGGCAGTGGGGCAGAGAGCAGGAGAGGCAGTGGGCAGGAGGATGCAGTGGGTGACCTCAGCAGTGGGGCACAGAGCTATAGAGGTGAGCTGGGCAACAGGGCGGAGCTGCAGGTACAACAGGCAGTGGGACACAGTGCTGCCAGGTGATGCGCCAGGAGAGGCAGTGAGGCTGCCAGGAGAGGCAGTGAGGCTGCTCTGGACAACTGGGCACTGGTCAGTGAGCATCAGCGACACCTCAGGCGCATCTGCAGCTCCTGCACTGCCTGAGTGCCAGGGGCATACAGAGGGGATGGCCTGCACCTGTGACACCACCTACCCTGGGCATTCCTCTGCCGCCTGCAAGGGGCTCCCAGGAGCGAGGGTCCGCCCGCTCCAGCAACAGCTCCCTCTCTGTGCCAGCACTGGAGTGTCATCGCCCTCAAGCCAGGGACACTGTTCATCCCAGGTGCCCTTCACTGAAGCGTGGCCAGGCAAGCAGCCTCACTGCTGCCCTGGATCCACTTCTGGATCTGACCTGCCTGCTGGGGCCATGCAGCATCCCCTGGCACTGGCTCTCATGGGACGAGGCAGCCGTGGCCAGGCGGTGAGGAAGGGCACACAACGGCAATGGGGACAGCAGCTGGCAGGCATTGGACCTTCAGATGAGGTCCTGCCTGGAAGGGAGAACTGGCAAAAAGCTGGCACTGATATGCAGGTGTTTAGCACAGGCACAGGGAGAGCCTAGGTCACTTGGCAGTGACTCTTTTGAGTGGTCTTCCCTGGCGTGGGCTCTGCGAGATACCCCTGGCTCAGTGGTGACAGAGGGGGTTCCCAGCACCGAGGCTAGATGGCACATGGCAGCTGGAGAATCACTGTGTTGCCGGGTGGGTGCAGCAGACCACCAGCAGCCCCTCTCTCCCCTTGCTCTGCACGTTCGAGGCTGGACTGAGCACCAGGATGCTCTGCAGCATCGTGCCTGTGGTCTGGCATCAACCAGAGGTCAACGTGTCCCTGACTCTCAGAGCTAGCCTGATGGAGGTAGTTTGCCTCCCTCTCTCCTGCCCGGAGGCCAGGCACTTTGTTTGAGCTGATTCAGCCCACAAAATCATCAGTTTCCTCCGCACCACTCTGGCTTCAACAGGGGTGAGAGAGAGCTGGGCCTCCCGCCGTGCCTCCCCGTGCATTGACTCCGTTTCCCTGTATTTCCCCCACGCAGATGGCTACGCAGGCAGGTCAAAAGTTTTCTATTCCATCCCCAAGTTTTTGTAAGTCAAGCCCATCCCTCTCAGAGGTAAAGCAGCCTCCACCCTATGAGGATGCAGTGAAGCAGGTAACTGCATGATTTTTTGTTTTCTATAGGGCTGCACAGGGTGTTCTTTTGCGGTTAATGTAATGACTTATCTGCAGGAGTTACAGCCCATTACGGGGTCTCTGGGTAGGACAGGCCTGTTTCCATAAGGAACGGGCTTTTCTTGAAGGGTTAGTTACTGAATGACTGCCACAAAGCAGTCGGAGACCACACTGGATGGGATAGCATCTTCTGTGATGAAAGGCACCAGTCGACACTGGGGTCCTGGCATCCCACACAAATACCCCAGGACTTCGGTGTAGTCTTCTTTGAGGTGCTCAGTGGTAAGGGAGAAACAGACTCTTGAGCGTTCCCAAGTCACCAGGAAACCTCACCTTCCCTCTTTATCCCATCAGCAAAGTGCCCTGCTCCATGCCATCTGCCTCCCTCAGCCTTACCCTGGAGCGCTGTTCCCACGGGGAGGACTATCTCCATTGCCCATGGACCCCTTACTTCTTGTGAGAGTCTGTCAGCAGCGTCAGTGCCAGACATGATGGTGCCTTTAGGAACATGGAGCGCTGCTGTTGTTAGTGATAAAAATGGGCTTAAGCTGGCTGGCAGGCAGGTGTGCAGAAAGTCCTTCCAGTCTCCAGTCAGAGAGAGGAGGATGATGATGTGTTGCCCCCAGGGAGCTGCAGGGAGTGCAAAGAGGTGTGAGGTGCTGGGTCCAAAAAGTTGGTGTATCCTGACCCACACTTCCTGGCCCTGGGAAGAGGCAATCTATGGTGGCCACTGAGCAGACGGTCAGCAGCAGGGTGGGGAGAACCTGGCACTGTGCTCCCCAGATCCACCATGCTTGTCCCAGGGCCCTGCAGTGCTCACCTAAACTCCGCTGCCACCCCCATGTTGAAGTGGCATCTCTCCTGTGTGGGAGAAAGCTGTTTGTGGGGTCTAGAGCCACCCGCCTGGCTTGTGGCTGGAGGGACTCTCCTCCTAACGCCCTCTACTCTCCTCTTTGTCGTTTGCTGCAGCAGATGACACGAAGTCAGCAGATGGACGAGCTCCTGGACGTGCTGATTGAGAGTGGAGGTACGCACTGCTTCCCTGTTCCCCTCCAGGGCTTCCCCTCCAAGCCAGTGTCAGTCCGTGGGACCCAGTGCACTCTGTGCACCCCAGCAGAGCTGCCTGAGTTGAGTATAGCTTTGATTTGCCCTCCCTGTGCCAGCAGCCACTGAGACTGTATCCAAAAGAGTATTGGCTCTCTCGGAGCCTGCTCCTGCATGAGCAGACCTGGTGGGGTGGGCTGGGCTTGGTTATCGCCTATGCAGACTGAGCAGGGAGAAGGGGCAGCAGCACTGCCAGCACCCTCCCTATGCACAACCCCCAGTATCCCCCACCATTCCCAGTGCTGCCAGTGCCATCTCCCGCATAGAGCACTGCCAGTGCCCTCCCCTGTGCAAAGTGCTGCCTGTGCCCGTTCTCGCGCCCATTCCCATGCCCAAGCGATGCCCAGCCCCATGGGGACAGCTGCCAGTGCTTGTGCCCTGGGGACTGTGCCCAAAACTAGGGAAGTCGAGGTCAGAAAGCAGGAAGGTGTGAGGCTTCCAGCAGGGAGGATGAGTGAGCAGTGCCAAGGGTATGGAGTGGGGAGCGGGTCTCCATAGGCACACCCAAGAGCCCAGCTGGGGGGCTGTGGTGGTGCCCCTGTGCCCAGCAGTGGTGGACACTGCTAGAGCACCTCAAACCCCTCTCATTTGTTGACAGAAATGCCAGCCAATGCCAAGGAAGATCGATCCTGCCTCCAGAAAGTACCTCAGATAACGGTGTCTACAGGGAACTCCAGCGCTTCGCTCCCAAAATCATCTGCTCCGTTCGAGCCCAGCTGGGGGGCTGTGGTGGTGCCCCTGTGCCCAGCAGTGGTGGACACTGCTAGAGCACCTCAAACCCCTCTCATTTGTTGACAGAAATGCCAGCCAATGCCAAGGAAGATCGATCCTGCCTCCAGAAAGTACCTCAGATAACGGTGTCTACAGGGAACTCCAGCGCTTCGCTCCCAAAATCATCTGCTCCGTTCGAGCAGGTGTCCTCAGCCCAGCTCTCCTTCGAGCACTGTCCGGGCAGCAGTGATACTCACCTCGAGGTCCTGCTGAAAAAAAAGAAGGGTCAGTGAAATTGCCCTGCTGAAGATGGGGGGAGAAGATTCCCACTTCGAAGGGATGATGGACGGGTTCTCCGGCAAAGCCACAGATGAACTGCTCACCTCCCAGGAGATTTTACAGACTCCCCTTTCACCCATGGAAACCCAGCTCTCCCCTTCCCCTGCCGATGGCTCCGGTTTACAAATGAGTTTCACTGAGTCTCCCTGGGAAACGATGGAGTGGCTGGACCTCACTCCCCCCAGCTCTGCCACGGGCTTTGGCTCGCTCACCCCTGCGGGTCCCAGCATCTTCAACATTGATTTCCTGGATGTCACCGATCTCAATCTAAACACCAGCATGGACCTGCACCTGCAGCAGTGGTGAAAGGGAGGGCGGTGGAGGCAGGATGCTGTAAGCCTGCAGCAGCCAGCACAGTGTTTCTGTCCCACTGGAGAACACGCAGGGCTGATGTGTCACACCCAGGGGAAAATGGAGTAATTTTCCCACCGTATAAACTTATTTGAATTTCCAGTTACTGCAAATTGACAGCACAACAAGCTCCGGTACTTTGGTTTCCTTCCATCGACACGTCCCCACAGAGGACACCAGTGCCTTTAACAGCACTCCTTTAGATTGACAAGAACTTCGGTTTTGTTTCTTTTATCTTTTTTCACCCTGGTTTTAGCAGCCACTCTCATGAGAACTGGAGCAGCTCGTAACAAAAGCGTGTGGTGAGGAGACTTCACCTGGGTGGCAACGGGATATCATGGAGAGGAGAGCCCGTTGCTGCCCTCTCCTCTGTTTCCTCCTGCCTGTCCAGTCCTTTAGGCTGTTCTCACCTTGGCCATGCCCAGGCCAGGGGGTGTGGGAGCAGGGAGGCTCTGCCCAGCCAGGGCGACAAGCACACTTCTCCCTACAGCCAGGCTCACCTTGCTTCCTTCCTCCTGCCCCCGGAGCTGCATTGCCCAGTCCCTGCACAGCCCTGCTCCAGGTGGATGAGAGATGGAGACCATCATGTTCACGGTGACACCCTGTCATGTCCTTACAGTGCCTGGGGGGCTGAAAGCCCAGGAGCCGTCCTGGCAGCAGCCTGAACTGAATCAGGCTGAAGCCTGTGACCTTGGAGCGGAGAGCTCTGGATGTTGGAGACAGCTTCTCAGGCTGCAGGTGCAGGTGTTGAAGGGACGTGGCATCCTGACGTAGCTGCCATGTCCCAGCTAGAGTGGTACAGAAGAAGAGATGTGTAATGTGTTTTGGTCCAAGGAAGGAGCAAGTCGAACGGAAAATATGGCCAGGCTTTGGAGGGGCTGTCCTTTGCACAGCCAGAAGTCAGGATGGATCTCCACCATCTTGCATGAGCCGGGAGCGGGGGGAGCCAGAAATGGACAGACTGGCACGTGGGGCAGGGCTGAGCAGGCCCTTGCATGGCTGTTGTTTTGCGCGAGCATCTGCTTTTGTTGCCTCCACTCCTCTGCTACCCGTCCCTCCGTCCTTCTTCCCATTCCTCCTTGATCCACAGCAGTCATCCCCTTCCTCCTGAGTTTACTCCAGCATCACTGCTCACTCAGCCCAGAGCAAGGCCATCCGGAGAACAGCTGTGAATCACTCAGCCTGGAGGAGCTAGTTCTCTTGAAGCCGGCAGAGATGGATGCTCTTCTGCAGTGATGCCTCCTGTTTGAAGTCACCAGCATTTCTCCTGCGAGTCTCTGTGCAATATACTTCCTCAGGCTCTCGCGAGAAGAAGCCTTTGCTTCACCTCTTGGCTTCCACCAAAGAACTCGCTGCAGACTGTTTGACGGACACGTCCACTTCTTTGCAATTCTGGTTTTGCCAAAGTAAATATTGTTGCTGACGAAGATTGTTAAACTATTTACAAACTGAACGTATTTAATATTTGTGTTACTGGAAGGACAGCACATGGAGATGCAGCAGCTGGGGAGCAGGTCCGGCCGCGGGGGCCGGCGGCAGGGCGCGGGGCCCGCAGGCCCCCCCCCCGGGATGCTGGGGCTGTTGGAGGCGGCTCCGCAGCCCCTGCGGTGTCTGCGGTCCGTGGCGTTGTTGCATGCTGTGTAAAGCACGTGGCAGTAGCTTTCGAGTCACTATTTAAAGCATCACTTTTCTATTGTACAAATGGTCACAGTGCACTGCTAGGATAGACAATCACAGGGTGCTTTTTTTTTTTACAGAATTCCTTTTTCTAAAAGTGAGAGGTTTTTTTGAAGCCGGTCTGTGGAGGGTATTAATAGCACTTGAAACAGAGTAGTGATAGCTGCTACACTGCGTCGTTGTACAGGGCTTTCCAGACAACTTTCTTCTCCCAACAAATGTATTTCCTTATTCAAAGGGATGCTGTCAGCTTCAAACTTGTAAGCAAGCACGTTTCCTTACCTATGTTACCAGTAACACCTTCATTATTAAAAACCCCTTTGTCTTGCCACTCTGCTCACAGTTTGCCGCTCGATTTCACCGGCTGGGGCAGCAGCAGCCATCCCGCTGCCACCGCCTGGTATCAGCTCCGTGCCCTGGGACAGCTACAGTCCTTGCAAGAGCAGAAGTGTTTCTTTTACAGCAACGGTTTCCCCTGGAAGATTTCTAAACAAGCTAGCTGGAGTCTCCTGCTTCTGAAGGGTTTTTCTTCTCTTGGCTTTGATTTTGCTTTGCTCTCCTATAAACCCCGCTCCTCGGGTCGGTGCACCCCTCGGAGGCAGCGGAAAAAACCCCGACCACCTTGGCTTTCCCCGGCAGCCGAGCCCTGGCCGGCGGTGGGCTGCGGGCTGTGGGGCGCACGGGGGGCACGGGCAGAGCTCTCGTCCAGCTGAACCCCTGGCTGCCCATGAGCCAGCGGCAGAGCAGGCTGGGGAGCTCTCCCCAGAGGGGAACCCTGGCTCCTCCTCCCCAGCACCCACGAGGGTCGGTTTCCAGACTCATCACTTCTTTCCTTTGATCAAAAAAGGGTGCCCAGAACATTCACCAACCGGTTTGCGGGGAGGGACTGGCTGTCTGTGCGTCCGCAGATGAGCTTAAAAGGTGAAATGATCCTGAGACACTGCAGAAGTGAATATGAAAAGATGTAGAAAAAATTACTGGTGCCTATGAGTGGCTTTTAGTCTCTAAACCACACTCTGCAACCAAGGGTGTTGTGATAAGCTGCCTGGACTGAGCCAAGTCACAGTTACTTAGAGAAAGAGAAGACAAGCTTCAGGCTAGCATTTTTGGGGGAATACTGATGGATAGGAGCACTCTCCTGCCCTGCCTGCCCATTGAGGAAAACCTGCCTGTGTTGGTTGACCTGCAGCAGAGGAGCTGGGAGGATGTGCTGCCGATCACCTCCTGTCTGCAGAAGGCAAAGAGCAGGGTGAGCGGCACAGGGTTTGTGCCAAGGTTTGGAGCAAAGCACTTGGGGAGGCCAAGCCCAGACCAAGGTCTTGCTGCGGGGCAGAGGGAGGGATCAAAGGGTCTCTGGAGGTCTCCTTCCAGTCCCCAAAGGATACCTGCTGCAGAGCTCGGCTGCATGGAGAATTGCTCAACCCAGCTCTGCCCAGCTGTCGGTTCTCCAGTCTCGTCGGAGCTGCCTCCTGGGAAAGCCCAGCTGGTGCTGGCAGGACAGGACCTGCTCTCCCTCCCATTGCCTTGGGGCAGTCCACACTCAGCCTTGGATGTGTGGGTGATTTTCCCACACAGGCTGTCCCCAGGGATTTAATGTTCTGGGGTTTTCCTGTCAAAGCCCAGCTGGAGGATCCCAGTGGTGTCCCACTCTCCTTGGGCCCTTCTGCCTGAACAATACTGGAAATACAAAGCTAAAAAAATATTAAGAGTCAAATTATCATTTTTCAAATCTTGCCTTTGGCAAGATTTTTAAACGTGAGATGCCTGGCTCAGTGCACCATCCAGTGCTTCCTCCATGGGAGACACTGAGATGTCAACAGCATCTTTCCACCAGCTCCTGGGTCAAGACATTTTAGGGGCACAGTTTCCCCTCCCAAGTGACATGGGGAAACATCTGTTCCTCAGCCCTTCTGGGCTCGACGAGGGTACCCTCTGCCCTTGGGTGTGTGCGGGACGAGGAGGCAGCAATGGGAGGAACTTGCATGTGCCCATCGCAGACCCCTGCAGCATAGGGGAGCCTGAAAGCCCCAGAGCCCAGCACCACGGCTGCCAGTGCCTTCCACCACCCCATCACCGACACCCTGACGCCCTGTGACACCCACATCAGCACCCCCGGCATCGCTCACTGCCCCCCGGTGCCACCTCCGCACCCCCCACAGCCCCCAGTTCTCTCCAGCCAAAGGCCCCTCGGGCTCCTCCTGTGCACAGACAGTCCCGGCACCTCCTCACCCACACAGGGTCCCCGCTGACCCCCACCAGCACATACAGCCCGCTTGCACAAGGCCCTCCCTCACCCCTCTTGGAGCAGACTGCCACCCACCACCCACCCAGATCCCTCTGCTCATCCCTGGCCTCTACCATCTTCTGACTCAAACTCAACTCAGGGAGGGACCAGGGCCACTCCTTGCCCAAGCATGGACCCTCTGCACCCCTAGACCACACAGATGCTGCTGGCACCCCTGTATCTGTAACACCTAAAAGGAGGCCACCAAGGAAGGACTTCTTCTGGCTGTGCAGGATGCACTGAAGTTCTCAAGGGGCATCAGCATAGTTGACATCTGGTTTAAAGCCTAGACACCTGTTCACCCTGGAGTACTGGCTGTGATACAGCTGTACAGTCAGTTTGGTTTTTTTCCAAGCCCACCAAAGCCATTTGCACATCTTGGCTTACCCACAGGAGTACCAGCTGGCCTTCATAGAGATGGGCTCGGCTTTTTTTTAATCGTAGCACCTCCACCCTCAAACTGCTACCAATTGGTTGCATCCCAGTTAGGGACTAAATATGTTCTTTGTATTGCTACCGATTTCTTACACTCAAAACTTTGTTGCATAAGACAGGAAACACACGTTTTAACAGTGCCATGAATTTATTGTTTATTTCGTTAATGTCTTAAGAGTCGAATAAAAAAAAGATGTGTTTAGTCCAGTTACAATGACACTAGTAGTTTGTGTTACATAACAATTCAAAATCAATGCTCACAGTCCTTCTCGTTCCTGCCCCCTTTCTCTGGGGCTCTGCTCACCTCCCACTGCCTCTGTGGGGCCTGGAGTTGATGGCTTCGTCCCGGAGAAGGAGGATGTGCAGTGCCATCACATGGCATGTGTCAGCATCCTCAGTCGTTTGCCAGGACGAGCATAATATTGATGTTGATGGGGTTTTCTTCATCACTTTAGAATCGGCTGTAGGAAACGGGTAAGTTTTACACCTTTGCTAACATGGTCTACAGCTGCTCATTGTTCTTTGGGCTATAATTCCAGGTTACATCCGAATTTACGGTACTCGGTGTGATTCACATATGCGAGAGGCTCGTTTTCTGGTCTCTTTGTTTGAGGTGGTTTCACCCTACCCCCCAAATG